GAGTCAACTTTGAGCCGGTGAGATTAGAACCGCTGAACTGCAGATAACAGTCAGCTGAAGTGGCCTGCAGTACTGCACCCTAACCACTGCGCCATCTTGGCTCATAATTAATATATTAGCATTACCAAAAGCGATTGTGGAGGGCAGAGGGGATAGCTTTGGAGGATAGGAGGGACAGCCTCTTAGTAAGGAAAAACTGAGCAGCTTTAGCCTGTATCCATTCCAGGAAACTAATGTGAGAAAACCTCAAACAGGTCTCTCCCTAATTTGGCCAAAGATAAAGGGAGGGAGGGAGGGAGGGAGGAAGCACATTCAGATATGCAAGGTTCTGTTACTATAGCTGTTCCAATGAAAAGAGTTTTAAGATTTATATGGCATTGCTTTCTTGGTCTAAACTACCTTATAGAACATCAATGAAATTCAGTTGTTTTGCAACAGTGTCTGGAATCCTAGCAAAATATTCTTTGATTGAGAATCAATCTGCTCTATGCAAACTTCATTGCTCAATTGCTAGAAAACCAACTAGGATTTGACAGCAATCCTGCTAAGTCACACCAAAGGTCTTTCTCGTCCAGTAGATCTTAATATGGGTGACTTTCAATTGTCTGCTCTATCAAATTCCAAGTTTTGCCCTCGAATATTTGTCACAGACATCTGGTGCACAAAATTCGTTGCCTTTAAAACCAACATCACTATTACAACCTGCAAGTTGCACGTTATTTTGTGTGTGAAGAACCATCCGAGAGTCAGTTCTGTAATGAATCTAACTTCCTTTGATTGCTTTTAGAAATGAGACCTGAGCTGACAAAAAAACAGCTATAGCTACACTGGTGTCAGGTCCTCACCGATGAAGCAAATGAACAAAATTGCAATGAATTGTCAACTTGAGGAATACAGAAAAAGTAATTCCTGGGACATTATTTTTTCCAAGAGTTTAAATTTTACTGAATGAATCCACATTGGCACAGAAGAAGCGAAACATGGGCTTCCCATGGAAAGGCATGCATAGCTCATTCCCCCTTTCCTCATGGGCCACCCACAGTCCATTATGCCCACCAATCACTTCTATTCACTTTGTTATGAGAACCAGACAACCACACTCTGCCATCTGTTCTGGGGAGGGGGCAGCAATGTCTCATGGGAACCGATCAGTGGTGGGTTTCAAAATGTTTTAGAACCTCTTCTGTAGGTGTGGTCTGCTTTGTGGGAGTGGATAACCGGCCATGTGACTGGGTGGGAGTGGCTTGCCGGCCATGTGACCGAATGGGAGTGGCTTGCCGGCCATGTGACCGGGTGGGCGTGGCCAACTTGTAAAATCCGATGAAACTTACTTAACAACGCTCTTGCTTAGCAACCAAAATGTTGGCTCAGGGACTCCGGCATTTGAAGCACCAAGTCTTAAAGCTGTCAAGTTACAAGACCTTTGCACCCCTAACCCTTTAGAAAAAACTCCCAGGGGTGTTCAAACTTGACAACTTTAAGACTTTAAGGTTTAGAGAGGCCCCTTAGAGGCGGGCGGGGCGATTGGTGAGCCAGCCAATTAGTGA